ATGGCAAGACTCACAAAGGTCTACAACACGGACGACGACGACTTAGGTTACGTTGGCCGCAGGAATTTGCCCCTGGTGGCTGGCGATAAGTTAATGGTAAGCATATATCCGCACTGATTTCCGCTATATGTATCATCCATCCAAAGAAAATGACTGCCAGGCAGAGAACCCACACACGCTCAACAGAGACGGCCGCTGTGCGTGTGTGCGTGTACTTGGTCCAAAAACTTTCATAACACGGCGGATTGTTATGTGTAAGTGGCGGATGGCGATGTGTGGGTTCGGTTCGGATTGGTGTGTAATGGTGCGTTTATTAATTGAACTTGAGCTGCGATTCTGCACCTGCCACCACCCACCAAACTCTTCTTCCTCCGCCTCCCTGGCAACGACCGCCATGTTGCTGGAAAGTGCAACAACACGAACCTGTTTGTATGCATATCACTTGCACCCCCCACGCCATCTGGTGAGGAGATCTCTCGGGCCAAGATTCTCTGTCCAAAACCGTATACTGGTTACCCGATCGCTTTTGCTATCGATACGTATGGAAGCGCATTTTTGCATTTGTCCAGAGCTCCTTTAGTTTTTCGAACGAACAGCTGTTCTTTGTTTTGTATGTTTTTTCGGATGCTTATATTTAATGTAATTAATTAATTGTTATGATAGTACTGACGGTTTTTTGACTGCAGTGTAATGTCAGTATATTGCTGTCTTTGGCTGTTCACGATACCATTTACTAGAACTGGCCCTGGTTAAATTCTCTACTTTTTCCGCAGATGCTCATGGACCTGAACAGCAAAGGACTAGTGATAGACAGCCCGCAGATCCGTGGACGTGACCTGGAGGAGTTCTCACGCAAATTTAAACTGCTCACAGAGGCCGAGCGCCGGCAGTCGCTGGAGATCGACAGCACCAGTTTCATGGAAGTCCTCAATCAGTGCGTCCAGTGCGTCGGGTGCCGTAGACGTGTAGAGCGGCTGTTTCACCAACTAACCGAGACGGGGCACCGAACACTCGATCCGCTGGAACTGCGCCCAACTGCCACCCTGGGCATTGTGGAGGAGAAGCTTAAGACTCCGCAGGCACTGGGAACGCTGCTCTACCGCCACCATGAGGTTCTCAATAACCTGCTGGACAACAAACTGCGGAACAAGACGCGCTGCGTTCTCCATTCGCTGGACGCCTTCCGTGCCAAACCCTTTTCGGAGACCTGGCGCGAGGTGTGGTCCGCCATGAAGAGTAACTGTCGCAACGAGCTAACCATCATCGAGACTAAGGAACTGCACGACGTGCTGGAGAACTACCTGAAGAAGCACAAGTTTTGCTCTGGCTGCCGTACGAAGGTGAGACACAAGATATATAAATAAGCGCCGTTATTAGTTTCAAACTCTGATAAGCCAGCCTTTTATCTTAATTTTTTTCGACCTAAACCCGATTTTCGTGCATTACCAAAATATCGATTAAATCGATCATTCAATTCCTTATTTTCATAGATTTTAATATGAGATATATATATTTTTTAATATGTAAATAAAAACCAAAATTATGGAAATAGAAGATTGCTAGTTCATGTAGCATCAGTACTGAGTTATATTAAACAAAGACTTGCAAGTTTTTAGTTTTGACAGTTATAACGCAGTTTTGGTAGCTGAAAGGCTTTCCAAAAAAAGTTGTAAAAATTGTTTGCTTGTGCTGGTCAAAATTTGCTGAAAGATTACATTATATTTATTTTTATTTTTTGCAGATTGAGCGCGCCTACAAAATACTCATTGGTGAAATATCGTCCAAGGAGAAGGGTTATGCGGCCCAGCTGTACGCTCATATTCGGAAGTGCGTGCCTGACCAGCACATCCACGTGACCACAAACAAGATAGAGTTCCTGGACGCTCTGATCAAGCGGGCCGAGCCCGAGGTTAACGGTAGCTACTCAAAACTGCGCGAGCGCCACGCTAAGACACTGGAGATTGCCCAGGAAGAGGTGCTGACTTGCGTGGGCATGATTATGTACGAAAGGCTGCGGCGCATCTACGTCAGTCTGCGGGAGGAGGAGCGCGCATGCCAGGTGCTGGCCGCTGTGGGTGTCCACGCCCTTTGCCGCAGCTTTGACACGTTCGTAGAGCAGAAGCAGGGAATCAGCAATCTGGAGCTACTCTACCAGGAGATCAGCCGGGCGGAGAAGGCCAAGCAGATCAAGCGCGAGCAGAAGAAGCTTAAAAAAAAGAAGAAGAAGGACGAGAAGAAGAACATGTTGCACCGGCAGTGCGAGGATACCGAGGCCAATGAGTCCGACGACGAGGAGGAAGACTTGCGGAAGGAGGAGCTAGACCTGGAGGAGGAGACTCAGGTGCAGCATGCGGAGCTAAGCGATCCAGGTGCGGACGATGGCATTGTTATGGAGGTACCTCAACCGGAGCCCGAACTAAAGCTCACGTCCAAGCCAACGAAATCGAAACCGAAGAAGCAATCGAAGAAAAAGAAGCAGAAGAAAGCGGCCTCCGGAAATAACGGTGACCAGAAGCAGATGAAGGCCACGACTAGGGTCCAACCGCTGGACGACGATCACGATCACCTGGACGTGGCCAGTTGCATTTCGTCAAGCATCGCCAAAACGGTTGGAGATAAGTGCGCGGAGTGCCTGGCCCCCATGCCTAACTGCCCATGCGAACAGGATGTGCGCGATTCTGGATACGGCAGTGATCCACCCTCGAACGCCGAATCTCGGACATCCAGCGCGGTTTCATCACCTGAAGGCTCGGAAGTGTCCTGCTCGGATGGGCTTTGTAATCACGACGTCCACGACGAGGACTCAGACGACTTGCTCTTCTACAGTCATCATTCGCAGTTGGATGACAAGTTTTCATTGTTGCAGATGTGGGTGAGTTGTAATATTGTCACTTCAAAGATAGGAAGTGTTTAAATACGGTAAACCAATTATAATTATGGTTAATGGAAGTTTTAAAATCAAAGTCAAGCTCAGCAGTGCGGAAAACGCTATTTTTATTATTCTTAAAAAATACTTTAAGACATTCAAAAAGCCCTCTCAAATCTTATCAACATCAAGAGCATTGGGTCGAAATTAATTATTGAATTTCGCAGTAGGCTATTCACAAACATATTCGTCATATCAAAATGAAGCTAATATTACCTAATTAATTGCAGGACGACTTCGACGAATACGACGACAAAGACGAGGAGATCTATTACATTCCCCAGGAGGTGGTTCTGGCATTCAAGTGCCATCGAGAGCAAGTGCAGCGAAAGCGCGAGGAGCTCCGTGCAAAGCTGCGTGCCAACTTCGAGCGGCTGTGCCTACAGCACGGCGTTCAGACGCAGGTGCAAAAATCGAAACGGGCGACTTCTGCACTGGTTGGCCAATAAAACGCATTGAACCGTTGTAGTTATTCAGTCGAGCGAGGCGATTTAAAAAAATCCGCCCGCATGCAAAATACATATAATTTTTTGTTTTTGAAATAAATGAAGTATACAAGTTACAACTATCGGCGTTGAATATCTAAAAATCTAGCAATTTCGGCAGTCCTCGTGAAAGGGTTCGAGAGTGCGCAAGTCTCTCCAGGTCGGAGGCAATCCATGAACCACGAATTTCCCACAACGCTTGCAGGGCTCAAGGAACAGTTTTATATGGCTGTTCAGCCAGGTCACATAGCTTTTCACTGCCAGGTCGGGTAGCGTCGGCGAAAAAAAATGCAGCATTGCTGAGTGAGCGTGCTCCTGGACTTTGCGGAACACCTCGTAACGTGACTCAGCCCACAGGTCGTCATGCTCCAGTGGCTCATCGAATCCCTTAACCGTAACCCACTCTATGAGCACTCCTTTGAAGACAATAGCCGCCTTCATTACGTTGCTTATTGTCACGATGGCGACTGCGTTTGTCCCGAAGGGACGGAAAATCCTGTACGAAGTATGCGGAGGGGTGTTGATCTCACTCAGGAGCTTATCTATGTGGCTAAGGATCAGAAGAAGAAGGAAGTAAAGATTTAAGTATCCACACGTACTACGAGTATTATTTTTTAATTGATGCAAACTTTCTAAAGGTATTTTAAAATTTTTGGGCGTTTATTTGACAGAAGAAAAACTACGCCGATGTAATATATAATAATTAGTAATCCCTCTTCATAAATTAGTCCCCTTTACCAAAAAAAACCAACTTATTAAAAGGATTCAGTCCCACTTTAGACTTACTCTGGATCGTTGTTAAAGGACGAGAAGGGCAGTCGCTGGCGCTTCTGGGAACAGTAATTATAGGATCGCCTCAGCGTGTTCTGGTTGAGATTGTTGAAGGCTAGGAAGCTGTGGTCGTGCACCTTGTCTATCCACTTGTAGCTGTTCACTAGTTGTGGGTACAGCGCCTGTCGATCCTGGGAAGTCTCCTGCGCCAGATAGGCAGTGTTCCCAAGGGAATAGGGTGTTGGGGGCACCTGCAGCCCATTGATGAGCTGCTCTACCTCACTGAAAGTGGTTTAATTCATATGTATTTCCCATTGAAATAGTTCAACTGGTCACTAACCGCAATTGCGAATTGATGGCTCCGAATCTCTCCTGGAAGTCATGTACGAACTTATTTCGGCTCTCCTCGCCTCCCTCCCCATCGGTTCCATCGGCCAAGTGCTCGAAGCACTGCCTTACGTTGGATCGCAGGTTTTTTACGGCAGTGAGAGTCGAATTTAACTTATCCATAACTTATTTCTCGTTCCGGCTTAACAAATATTTACGTTGTCTTTGCAAATGCCAATAGAGATGGAAACAGGTTCCGAGTTAGTGATGAGACGAAAAAACTCAGGACTTTGCATATAATATAGGGTACCTGTTCTAAGAAAAACAACTATATAGTAACTAAAATATATATCGGAATCGTTTAAAAATTAGTTAAATGAAATATTGTTTATAAAAATAATTGATTCCTAATTTATAGGAAAAGCATACCAAACTTTACAAAGTCCATCTCTAGTGAAACTATCGAGTCGGTTCAGTATTTTTTTGCACCCGATTTTTGGCATTTTCCAGCTACTACGCCCGCAATTTGGCTGTACACAAATCGGACTTCTGATCCAATCCAAATCCAATGCCATTCAATGCTCGACTACGATTGTTGAAAGTTTAAACACACCGATCGACGCACAACACACCATCACCATGGGCAATAAATCGTCGCTTTTCCTGCGGAACGAGGAGATCGCGCAAATCCAGGAGGAGACTGGCTGTGAGTATAATTTCTGGGCGGGATGTGATAACCTTGGGCCCTTTTACCCGGAGACGTTTAACCCGCGGTACCAAATCCAATACGCACTTGGATATAAATAAATTGGGCCACGAGCAACGCAAATAACAACATCACACTGGAGTGTTAAAAGCTTTTTAGGTCTAAGACCTAATGGATTTGATTCGATTCGTAATTTCCATAAAAATTCCAAGTCTGCACATACGTGCTTCGAAAAACTCCGTTGAAATTAAGCAGAACTGCGTCTGAACGATCTGTGCTCGCGTTATATAAGCCGTATATGCACAGATGGTTTCCAGCAACCAATTTGCATTCTAATTGCATATGCACTTCCCACATGACGTCACCGCTTGCTATATATGCACATACATATACAAATATAGGTAGTGGGTGGGGGCAAAGTCGGTGCCTATCAGCGATACTGGCTGGCAATTATTTAGTGTCCGAGACCGTGTAATTTCAATATTCCGGCGCGATAAGCGCACAATTGAAATTGCCACCGCATTGGAACTTGTATCCAATGCTCGACCACCTAGTATCAGCTAAGATGATAAGGTGCTCGGTCTTATCAGCCAGATTTTATAGCAACTAATTCCGAATGTGCTTGGACTCATTGGCACACCGTAAATAGGGTTCGTTCGATGTTTTCCATGGCAAAACAAATTTATCTGAACAGTATCGTACACAAAATTGTAATTCTGTTCCCAAGCTGTAAAACATTTTAAAGTTTATACATACCCAACTTATTATTAATTATACTTTCCGGTGATAAATTCATTTTCCAGTCACCCCCAACCAAATTGAGCGACTTTACTCCCGCTTCACCTCGTTGGATCGCAACGATTGCGGAACCCTGTCTCGGGAGGATCTGATGCGAATACCGGAACTAGCCATTAATCCGCTGTGCGAGCGGATAGTGCACTCCTTCTTTGCTGAGAGCAACGACGATCGGGTGAACTTCCGGCAGTTCATGAACGTCCTGGCCCACTTTCGCCCGCTGAGGGATAACAAGCAGAGCAAGCTCAACAGTCGAGAGGAGAAGCTGAAGTTCGCCTTCAAGATGTACGATCTGGATGACGACGGTGTGATCAGCAGAGACGAGCTGCTATCAATTCTGCACATGATGGTCGGGGCGAACATAAGCCAGGACCAGTTGGTCAGCATTGCGGAAAGGACGATCCTGGAGGCGGACCTGTGCTGCCAGGGCAAGATTTCGTTCGAGGATTTCTGCAAAGCTCTGGACCGCACCGACGTGGACCAGAAGATGTCTATACGGTTTCTCAACTAAGCTGGATTTAGGGATCACAAGGAAAGCGAGCTTCTTAGTCAGTGTGTACCAAATAGTTTAGGGTGAAGTTAGTCGAGAGGCATTCCGGCGGGTTTCTGAAACCTCTGATTTGGAAACAGTGGTTACTGTGCTTATTATACCAGTAGTGTTTTTAAGCATTTAGAAGATTCAATTTAATGAAAAGTGTCGCAATGTTTTTTAAACCTCAGAAATTTTGCATAAAGCTTATCTAAGATATTGCATTCTAGTTAAACAAAAATTTCATAGTTTTGAAGTCATTATTTGTTTTGATCACAAGTCCTACTGGAATCTTGAAAAATTGTTTGGAAATCTGATCATATATTTATGATAAAAATATAAATAAATATTTTGTTGTCTTATATTTACACTCCGAAAAATCAATTAAATATCTCTTAGGCTTCAGAAACGATCCGGATTTACTTGTATTAGTAGTTGTTATGAAGAAAGAGATGCAGATTTCATTTTGTTAAAACCTTGTTTTTATAATTACAAACTCATTCCGCTCAACGTAAATTCTAACTTAGTGTTCATCTGCTTACGAATAAAAGCAACGCGGATTAGCATAATTTGAATAGTTTATTGCGTTATCAGACGATCAATTGGAATAAGTGGATGTATATTTGTAATTGCATTTCCTGGACCACAGATTCCAGGAGACGCCTTCGCTGACTTCGCCAGAAAAGAAAGCGCCTGAAACTAGAGCCAGAGTCGATTTATGTGGTGGTGGACACAGCCAGCTTCTTAAGGTGCTCCATAAACAGTTGTAGCGAAACGTCATCCGTGAGCACTGGAGCACCGCCATCCTGTCGAGATAATGTCCAGAAAATTAGTCATATGATGGGTGGGGTGGGATCGTGCCAAGTGGGGAGAAATGAAATGAGAAGGGTCCAACACCAAAAGCCACTTATACATACATCACAACAAATGATGTGTGAGATTATTCAAATACATTAAAAACTAGGAACAGACAAAATCTTTGGTTAGATTAAACGGTTTCATTAAAGAATTTGGGAGTATTGTGTGGTCACAAAGGAGTTTTCCTTTTTTCCAATGTCTCAGAGATTCATAAATCAAAGCAAAACTCTTATTTTGTATCATGACCAGTACAAAATAAGACTGAATATAACAATACAGTTTAGACTTATAGCTTTAATTTCTCAAAGATTTTATACCCGCCCCTAATATTTCAAATATGTATATACATTTCCTAGTTTAAGTGTTGAAAGTTAAACAAAAATGTACTACCGTGACTTGACCAATAGGCGCCTGCGATTGACAAAGGAGCGGTTACGGATACGGGTACGGATTATACAATGAGAGAAACAAAACCAACATAAAACGAGATTGAGATTAAATTTTCGATGTCGCAAAACAGCGCTGCAAAGATAAATAAACTGTGGCCAGTTGATGGCGCCTGCTACGAGACTCACCTGCCCGTAGGCGTACATGTTGTTGTGCGTCTGCGAGGGGTTAACCTTGGACAGCAGGAAGCGGGCCTGGGATCCGCCGTGCTCCGTATCGATGTAGCGAGGCATGGGGAAGCGCGTCTGGAGAATCTCTTGCGCATCGTCCACCGGCGCTTGGAGCAGCTGCTTGAAGTTCTCATACTCGGGCATATCCTGGTATTTTAGGGCTCGCCACTGGGCGATAGTCTCGCCGTGGTATATCAGAATCTGAAAGAACGTGTCCATCAGGAGGATGCGATCCGCCTGGATCGAAGCCGTATCGAGTAGGACCGGTTCTGGAGGGCCGTTGAAAGAGTAGCTGTAGAGAATCGGCTGGATCATAATCAGCGATTGGGTGAGGTCCTCGCGCATCAGCATGTGTCGATAGAATGTGGTCTCGTCGGGCGAGTTGTTGAAGACCTGCAGGAACTGCGAGCGGCGCAGGTGGTACATGAATTGCGGGAAAAGGCTGAAGTTCTGCGACAGCCTAAAGCTGTTGGGATCGTCCTTTGAGTACTCGCCGAACTTTTGGCACTGCAAAAGCAGAAAAGATAAAGGAATTGTATAAGCATTTACAAGACTTATGTTTATAAAAATATCAGCTTAGTGGGAGTTTGAGTGAGAAATATTTTTTTGGGGCATATCTATAGAAGTCGGGAGGAAAAATAATAAAATAAAAAAGATCGAAACATTCTACAAAACTATGGGCGTCAAAGTTTTGGGCATTTCTATTGGGTGAGATACCCACCTACATAACTTAAAGCTGAAATGTGCACAAATTTATAAATTAAATGTGCACAAGTAATTTACCCAATTGTTACACATGAAAACTAACCAGACGAATCAACTGACGATCGACCCAGCGCAGAATATCTGGTCCTTCGTCAGTCTCCGCGCGATAGACGACCATTCGAGCCATCAGAACGGCGGCAGCCTCCTGATCGAAGCCGGCGCTGATGTGGTGCACGTTCGAGGTGGCATCGGCCCAACTAAAAAACAGATTTAAACATTTAGTAAACTCTGGGCTGATTACCGCCAAAACATACTTTCTTGCCAGTGTGGTAACGCGGATTCGACGCTGTCCACTTGGGTGCTGGTACTGCGTAATGAACTGTATGCAGCCACGCCCGCCCTGCGGAATGGGGGCTGCATGCTGGTTGACCACCTCAAAGAAGTAAGCCACCGTGGAGCTGGGATTCAGTGTGCACAGCTTCCACTGCACCGTGTTGCCCATGCCGATCTCCACATCCGACACCGACGGGCTCTTCACATTCAGCGACACACACGAGCCGATCCCACCGGAGATCTTCAGCTCGCGCGAGCACTTCACCTCCAGCGTTGCATTGAAGGCCATCTTCAAGTCGTTGCGGCCATCACGTGCGAACACGCGTTGAAATGTCTGCTTGAAGAGCGATGAGTTGAACGAATCCCCCATGACCATGTGGCCGCCAGTGGAGTTGCATAGCTGCTTCATTTCCAGCAGGCCGGTTTGATCCAGAGCACACGAGTATATGTCGACACTATGCCCGTTGGTGGCTGCCCGCAAGGCCAAGGCATCATAGTGTTTGATCGCCTTCTTCATAAACCGCACGTTGTCTTTATGGATGTCGTGATGCGAACGGATCGGGTGCTTCAGCTCGTCGTCGACCACCTGGCCGGGGCCCTGGGAGCAAGGGCCACCCACAAATGTCATGATGCGACCGCCCGTATTGGGGTAGGTGCACTCCAACAGACCAACCGCAATAGAGAGAGCAGCGCCAGTGGAGCGCAGGTAACGCTTGCCCTGCGGCACCGGCCAAGGATCGCGCTGCAACTCACTAAGCAGATCGCCCAGCGCCGCGTCGCACTGGCCGATCGGCTGCAAGAAGCGATGTGCGGGCGGCACAGGGGCCGCCGCTCCAGCCGGCTGGCCAGGCAGCTGCTGCTGTTGCTGCGGCCCCGGAGCCCCTCCACGCCCGATTCCGAGCATATCCTGCACCTGCTTGGCAGTCAGGTCCTTGGTGCCGCGGAACACGTAGCTTTTAGAGCACCCCTCGGCGCCAAGCTCGTGCACCTGTATCATTTTTCCGAAGGTTATCAAACCCACGAGAGCGTTGGATGGCAGCAGACTTAGCGACATTTGCAATGAATCCTTCAAGGCGTCCAGCTCGTCCTCGTCCATGCAGGTGTCAACCAGGAAAATGAAGACGGGCGGCATGGTGGGGGCCCGGGTAATGGTATACTCAATAGTACTGAATCCAGGAATCAGCTCCGCTGGTTGGTGTTGCTCGGATATGGCTGCATATTGAGGGGGAAACTGGAAGAATGACTGTTATTCACTGCCGCAGAGGGTCTAAAGATTACAATTGCGCTCACCGGATTGCGCTGAAAACAGAAGTTGCACACCCACAACTTGGCACGGTAGTCCACCTGGCACAGAGGATTCAGGATGGCCCTGCAGTTGCTACGGGTGCACAAGACCGGCTCATACTGAATAGGCGGCAGGTCGGGGCGCTCCTTCAAAGGCTGGTAAAGACAAGCTAGGGGCACCACCAGCCGACTGGCTTCGATGCGGCTTGAGGGCCACACATTCCACGTCAGACGCACACCGTCGCGGTCCTCGTTCTGCTGGATGAACTCCTCGTAGGTGGTCATCGCCGCAACACTTAAATGTCCTTCTTAAATAGGAAAAACCTCTGTTAAACCTCTGCCAATTGGAAAAATCGGTCGCCAGGCCACGTCACAAATTGACAGCTAGTCGTGACACACTTCGTGCTGGCGGCGGGCAAAATATTCACGCGAAAGTAAACAAATTCGCGAGAAGAGTTTAAGAGGCTTAACAAATGGAAGCACTCACTTTAGAAACAATTTATACAAACGTACAAACTGTAGAAACCAAAACTACGAACTATTACAGAATTTTAAGTGCAAACGTTGCAGGTCAGGGAAGATAGTTTTCATGCGATACTATCGCATGGGCGAGTTGGGCTTCTACTTAAAAATGAAAAATCTAAAAAAAAGAAGTAAATAAATAAGTTCAATAAAACGATAAATAAAGCAAGGTATTGGTATGGGTTGATCCATTATTTTTTCAGTTCACTTTCTTTGTGCTTTGTATTATTCAACGAGTAAATATTTCTATTAATATTGATAAATAAAAAATGCATATATTTAGGAATACCTTTTTCTATGTTTAACTATATGTTATATAAATTTTTATATATTAACATTATTTATTTTGTATTATTTTTTTATGTTAACATATTTTAACATTATATTTTACATAACACACCACTTATCGATTGCTATCGATTGCCAAACTATCGCCCCGCGGAATGCATCCCTGGTGCAGCTGTTTACTCGGCGTTGTGTGTGTGTGCGTGTATTTTTTAGAGTTGAGTTGTTTCTAAGATGGCGACGAAAAAAACGCGTCTTCTTATGTGAAAAATGCAATCATAACAACTCGAGTTTTCTGCTAATAAATGTGCGCTAATTTGGAAAAGGACCATTGAAAAACAGTGCTAAACGTGTGCCGAGTGTTTTGCATGTGAAACTTTTGGTGCGGGAGTGTAATGAAAATGGCCACAAATATGTATCGAGTCGGAGGTGAGAAAAATTTTCCCGTACTCGCTTTTCTATCATCTTTCGTTATCGGCGCCGCCGTTTCACAGTGTGCGTGTGCGCTCCTGCGTGTGTGTGTGTGTCTAGTGTGTGCATATGCGTGTGTGTTGTGTCTGAGGAGGCTTTCCAACAATAACGAAAGTGCATTTTAATTGCCGAAAACCCTTTAGTGGGAGTCCCAACGCACGTGTATATGTGTGTGTTATCAATCCCAAGAAGCATCCGCTCAAAAGGAGAGACTTTTTCTATTTTTTTTAACTTTAGTGTGGGAGGGGGCACTGCTTTTGTGTCGCAGCTGCAGCAAGTGTTTTCTACGTGTTCCAACCGATAAGCATTAGCTTATGCTCTGAGTGCTTGCGTGTGTGTGTATTTTAGGGCTGGGGAACTGAATTGCATTTTCATTTGGATTTGCCGAATTGTGATCTCTCCAGCGTGTGTGTTTGTTTAACAGTGTGCGAAAGTGTATCTCACTTTTGGGTGAGCCCACCCTCTTTGTTGTGTTTTCATATGCTAATGAGCTTTTTAGCATCTTCCCCAACCTCACGCCTCCCCATCACCCTTTTTGACGCACTTTTTGTCAGCTATCTCGTTCGCACTCGAGCAGTGACGTTATTGTGTTGTCTTCACCTGATTTTCGCAATGTGTGTGCGCTCTTTCAAAATGCTAATAAGCTCGGTCGGATACCCAAGCGTTCAATTAACGGAATCAAAATAAATAATAATGGCATATATACTTGTCGAATTATCTGCTCTTTATCGCCGAGACTTTTTGTCTTCATCGCCGTTTTTGTTTGCCGTTTTTAATGGCCACGCACACAGTTACACACCTTTGCCGATGCTTTCTCGCTGCCTCCGCACTTTCTTTTTCACCTCTCTCCATATATCTAACCATCTATCTATGTATCTGCATCCCAAAATGTATCAGAAATGCACACGATATGCATGTGTGTATGTACATACAGATATACGGAATTTCTTTTATGTTTTTTGTAATGGTCACCGACAGGTTCCGCTGCAGTTGTTGTAGTTATATGGATGGATAGCCCCATTTGTATTTAATTGCGCTTTAGGTGGTAGTGGTGGCCGCAGTTAAGTGAATCGCGTGTATGGGTGTCTGCGCGCTTACCTGTGACGTATGAATGGAGTTTCAATTCTCCCCCTCCTTGCCCCGCTTGCATCAGACACCTCTAAACTCTACTCTTTTCAGACTATGTTTACGTTGAGACAACGCCGAACAGTCCCTACTTAATACGACGCATCGAGGAGCTGAACAAAAACCAAACCGGCAATGTGGAAGCGAAGGTTATGTGCTTCTACCGCCGCAGGGATCTGCCCAATCCGCTCGTGCAATTGGCCGACAAGCACCAACGTGAGTAGAGAACCCCTGTTCCCCAGAAACTGCATCAATATTGCGTTACGTTACCCCTAAGTGTGTATATTTTTTGTCAACAAAGTGAGGTTATGTTGCCAAGAGTCGTTGTCGTGGCCTTCAAACAAGTTAAAAGTTGAAACCTGACGACCAGATCTGCTAAGCACATTCCCACCGCAAAACAAAAAAGTTAACCCAGAAGGGGCCACTGTGTGCGTGGTGTCTATGCATGAGGAAAACCAAGCCACCCACCGAACCACCCAGCCGCCCTTTGTGCGACCCAAACATAACGTAGCCCTAGCCAAACTTCCTGAGCAACAAGAACCGCAATGACAACAACTGGGAAGGCGGAGCGAAAACGGATTTCGTCCAGCATCCGACGCATCCACATAAACAGGCAGTGGAACCTTCATAACTCGACCGAAATAAACTGGCAGTAGAAGCACCCTAAGTCGAACCAGCTGCACCTATTTATTTAGGTTCCAGTAACGCCATTTAAATTGTTGGTGTCGCAAATTAGAAACAGGATTAAAAAATAGTCGAGGTTTATGTAAATGTCGAAAGGCTTAGTACTGTAATATCCGATGGGATATCGGACTAAACTAGGTGTTTAGTGTTTTTTTTTTCCGACACTGATAAGCACGCTTCATGGTGCGGAAGGACCATGAAAAAAAATAGTGGGCCTTACTGAATTATGAAGTTCAACCATAGCCATATGATATGGTGTCAGTAATTTGAACGGGCCACGGTTTGCTCTAATGATGTTACTCTGTAATGAGCTGGGCTGCACTGTACCTGTAATGCGGTTGTTGCTGTTTTCGGTGGCTGCTAGGCGGCGCCGACGTCAATGTGAATGTGATACTTGGTTCGGCTGTAGGTAGACTGGCTGTCTACCTCTGAAAAGCTGCCACACATACCCAACCCCAAACCCACTGACACTGCTGCTCTGTGTGCATGAAAATGTTCAAGTCAGAAGTTGGGATCTGGAGGGGATTGAAGCGGAGTAGGGTGTGGAGCTATGGCGATGTGGCACACGCAGGGAGGCGCGCTTTGCATTCGTGTATACATACACACAACGACTTCATCCACTGCCACTCGGTCGTTCCAAAAAATTAAAAAAAAACCATGCCCATTTGGGTTGAATTCGATACGTGACCGTCGCGAAAATGCGTTTTCCGCGGGCTGACCTCGCACAGCAACCCACCTCCTGCACTCCCATAAGCCCAACAAGCGCCACCAATTCCCATTAACACGGCCCCTTTCGTCCCTAACATCACCGGACCAGTGTCATCTTGATTAATTTCTTATTTATTTTATTCATTACGCTCCACGAGCCAGTTTTTGTATGCGTGCGTCGCCTTTTCGCAGGCCACTCGCTAATCAGGCTCTGAAAATTAGCGCAAAAATTATACATTTGGAGCACAAATATGCCGCACTTCCAACCACAAGGCTTGGACTTGGTGCAAGTGGCTTTGAGAATGTCAAGTACTTTGAGAATACTACAATGTTCAGATAAACACAAAAACTTTTAGGATAAAATCGTTACTATATTTTATAATAAACTTTCCGTCAGCGAAATAAGAATAACGAAATGTAGAAATTCAGATAGCCCACAGCCTGGAATATTCACTCTAAGGTTTTAATCGCAATGTCAATAGCAGGCCTTGAACTTTGCAGGGGAGTGGAAGGGTATAGAAAAACAGCTACGCTCGAAACCAAACAAATCCCACTGCGGCGCACCCACCCACTTGCGTGCCCTATATATGGCCACCAAATAACGCCCAAGTCTTTACCCGCCATCCACCACTCTTCGTTCTCTTCTGGGTGGTCTCACTTCGTCTTCGAAACAAACACAAAATACAAATACACGTACTCTGCTTCGGCTCTTTTCTGTGACTCCGGCGGTGCACCCATGGACTCCACGGCGTTGGACAAACGGGCGTACACCGATGAGGTGGGGTGATGCTCTTTGCCGCCCTCACCTTCCGTCCCTTGCGAAATGTCAAGCGTACATTTTTTAATCAGCCCAGCGAACTTCCCGGAAATTCACGAGGGTTATTCTCGGATTTTTCAACACACAAATTCCGTGAAAGCTTGAATGTATATTATATAGATAACGTTTATATTCAAAGTGACTCTATACTCTATTTATATAGGACATAAACTTTGTGACTGTTTTTATAATTCGTAAAACATTTTTAATTAAAAATATACAGAGATTTTAAATATTGCTTATAAAGCAATATAATATAATATTTAAATATATAATATTTAAAGTATAGGAAACGTTGTAAAACAAACACAAGAAGTCTACTTTTTGCTTGGAGGGTTCTTTGCTAATCTTTTAAATTTGTGTATATGAGGGAATTGCTTGGACTGTTGGTACATTTATGCAGCTTAACTGGCATAAGTCTTGTACTTTTGAAAATATTCTGCATTTGTTAAAATACATTTTATGTGTCGAAAGCGTGATGTCCAGTTTGGATGAATATTTTGCAAATTGCGCCCTGAAACTCTTTCTTTTTTAAGAGTTATTATATTTTAGGAGTTAGTGCCTACACTTTGACTTCAGATGCTTAGTGAGTTCTCATTAAGAAGGCATATATGGTCGTGAATCTCTTTACCAGGCCAAAGTCGTTATGGGCACATCAATTCGGCTGACGCCCATCCTATATCCCTAGTACTTTTTGGCAATCACAACGACTCTTAGGAAGTTATAACCTCAGTTGTTACCTCCTTACCTCCCGTTCAGTTTGCCATTTTTACCTTGTTATTTAAAATGCTTTGCCTTATAAACACTGTCAATAAACGCAATTCCCCAAATCGCACCAAATCATACTCCTAACCATCTTAAATATAAAATAACGCATCACATCAGTGGCCACCGCCGAGGACTCACCGTTGGCGACCAAGCTGAAGAAGACCTGGCTCCGCACACCCGTAAGCGAGGAGCAGGCGGCGCAGGCTGTGCTCGATCCCTCAATAGGTACCACTTCCAGCTGATT